CTTTGCAACTCTTGCATGTGTTGTCTATGTATGTATGTATACCAGGCGGGGCCCGATGCCAGGCATGGCCTAATGAATGTATCGGGTGGGGCCCAATATATCTATGTATGCATGATATGTATGGTATGACGTATTTTGGGGAACTCACTAACATTTGTGATTACAGTTTATGTTTAACATGTTTCAGGTACTTCCTATTCCAAGGGGAAGGGTTCGGATTGACCGCGTTACACGCACCCATGATTTTCACATGTTGACTTTGATGTATTTCTTGATGATTGTCGTTTTACTTTGAGTTTTATATAATGGTTTTCTATAGATAATGAATGGTTGGTGGTTTTATCTAATCTAAAAATGAAATTTTAGTTATGAATTTTTGGGACGTTTCAAATTAGTATCAGAGTCATGGTTTGAGAGATTCAGGCATACCCGCGGGTATGTCTGAACTAAAACCGAGATTTGCTAAATTTTTTATAAAAAGAATTGGTTTTCTAAGAAGGCTTCTAATGGAAGAAAGAGTTGTGGTGCATGCAATTTACCGAGCTCAAGTAAGTTTTCCCAAAATACCCATACACGTTTTGTGTGATACTTGGAATTGAGAATCTGTGAATCGCATGCTAGATTAGAGCTAAGGATCTACTTAGGATTGCATGATAGAATGCTTGGAGATATGCCTTTATTTTCCTATTGTATGATCTTGTAAACTTGCATGTTAGTACTGATCAGTCAGTGATAGGATGGCTTGTTTAGGTTATGCTTTGTTTGCGATTACTCAATTCTCGAATGTTATTTGCTTTGTCCTTTTAGGAGTTCCCATTAACATCAACTAACTAGTAAGCAAATACGCTAAGTTACATATTGCCGAGATTATATAATTTCAGAAGGTTAGGTTTAAATCTATTGCACAACTCTTGTTTTAGGACCTTCTCCAGACTACTCAGACAATGGCGCAGATTACCGCTATGTTTCGAGAGAGGGCATTGCTAGTTCCGCAGTATGTGGTGGACGAGGATATGAAAAAGGCAAGGTATCATGATATGTTGAGGAGAAATATCAAGTAGTTTGTGAGTATATCCAGTTGCAGGCCATTGGAGAATATGGTGGCGCGAAGGGAGATTGACCCGGAGGTGGAGAGGAAGAGGAAGCCCAATCAATCTTAGAGTTTTGAGGGTTGGGGCAAGAGGCCCAAGGTGTTTGATTCGATATTGAGGGGCCAGCAGGGCCAGGGCTACTTTGGTAAGTGTGGAAAGACCCACCATGGAGCTTGCAGGGTGGGTGCTTATGGCTGCTTCGAGTGCTGCAAGACGGGGCATATCAGCAGGGATTGCACCACCGCCACCACCACCACCTAAGTATTTGATCTGATTTTCTTCCTTTGTAGTCAGAGGGGCCATAAGAAGGCCAACTGCCCAAGCCTAGCAGCAGTACAACCATTGGTAGCACTCACTCTGGCAACCTTACAGATTATGGATGGCCGTCAAGGCAAGGAAGACATGTCTGTTGTGAGGAGCAGAGCTTTTCAGCTAACATATAAGGAGGCTCGTGTAGCACCTGATGTAGTGACGGGTGTGTATCTTCTCTTTATCTCTTTATTTATCCTTGTTTTTCTCCTTATATCTATGTGTTTTTTTAAGAGCGTTCTTTGTGAACAATATCTTTGCTTTGGTTTTCTTTAATTCAGGGGCTACCTAATCCTTTGTATCTCATGCGCTTAGTAAGAGGTTATTCGATGCTCCAGGGGAGATGGAATGTCCATTAGAGGTTAAGATTTCTAATGACCGTCCTGTGTGGGTATTGAGGGTTCATCGGGGTTGTGTATTGGAATTGTTCAGTGAGCGGTATCCGATTTATATGGTTCATATTCCTCTGTGTGAGAGAAAGGTTATTGTGGTGATGAATTGAATGAGCATTAATAGGGAATTGATTGGCTGCAAACATTAGTTGGACCGACTCTATATTCAACAACTAGGGCTAAGCACTATCTGTAACATGGATGTTCTGGGTTCGTCGCTTATATGATAAATACCAGGAGAAGGGTAAGAAAGCGGTGGATGATGTACCAATTATTTAGGAATACCCATATGTGTTCCTGGATGATTTTACTAGAGTGTCTCTAGAGAGACAGGTGGAGTTTCAGATTGACATGGTTCCAGGTGCGGCTCCGATAGCTAAAGCACCACATCGGTTAGCACCTATAGAGATGCAGGAGTTATTTACATGGCTGCAGGAGTTTTTGGACAAGGTATTTAGTTGGCCAAGTAGTTCAACAAAAGGAGCGTTGATCTTGTTTATGAAGAAGAAGGATGGATCGTATCAGATGTCTATAGATTACCAGGATCTGAATAAGCTAACGATGCATAACCGTTATCCATTCCCAAGGATTGACAGTTTATTTGACCATCTTTATGGTGCATATTGGTTTACTAAGATTGATCTGTGTTCAGGTTATCATCAGACGACGGTCCGAAAGGAGGATACGCAAAAGACATCCTTTCACTACTAGAAAAAGAGCCTTTTACGACGCGCAAACAATGACACGCGTAGATATACGATACGCTTTTCTGTGTGTCTAAAAAATAATGTTAGTTTTTTAAAAATTTGAAGGATAGTGGACACGTATTTTTGAGTGCCCTAAAATTAGTGTCCAAAAAAAAGAAAATTAAAAACACGGAAGGCACCTAAATTAAATGGGCGTCGTATACAAATGTTGTTTTATAATTTTTAATACGCACGTCCCTCTTCTTTGATAGAGGTAAGCGGGAAAACCAAATATCTAAATTTTTTGAAGTACCCTCCTACCTACCTAACTCTCTCTCTCTCTCTCTCTCTCTCTCTCTATTCTCTCCTCTAGGTCACGATTCACCATGTGAACTAAGGCATGCCTAAGATTCTATCTCTTTATCGCCATCATCTTCGGCTTTGATCTCTTCCTAAAAAAGCGACGATAAATCTACCACGAGGCGTCACAAAAGCAACCGGAGGCATCGATACCGGTGGAGCAACGAAATAAGGTATTCTAGAAGAGAGAAAGAGAAGGGGAAAGAGAGGTGGAAGATAAAGAAAAGAGATAAAGTGACAAATATAGAAGGAACGGGAGCAGTAGCTAGAGATCAAATCAAGAAGGCAAAAGGACGGGTTCAGATTCAGACACAAATTCATTCTTTGCTTTCAATTTCATATACACCTTGATGTTCTTATGAATCACCTGGATTGTGATACGAGCACGCCCTCTCTTATTCCTCCTCTGATTCGATTCAATCTTCTTTTTAAAACCCTAAACGCCAATTCAGAATATCGTTGGTAAAACCCTAGATCCAAAAATAGGCTACCATTAATTCTTCTCCCGATTTTGGCCAATCATCTAACCCTTTGATTTGGGTCTTTAGTGTTGGAATAAAAATGCGAGACTTTGTCTTCATATGGGCAATGTTAACGCTTCTCTCAGGTAAATAGTAAAATCACTTGATTTGCCATTGTGACATCGTATTCTTTTTTATTTTGATTTGGCAGTTTTAATTTTGAATGTACAGGTGTTTCTTAGGATGTAAGTGAGGGCTACATCACTTGATTTTCCATGTTGGCATCGTATTCTTGTACTTGAAATCTTGAGGGTAAATCTGGAAGGGTTGAATATAGCTAACTATTGCAGTTTTTAGTCTTTTTATATACTAATATTACCTCTGAAAACCTTTCATCTAACTATCAGTTGTTGTATATTTTGTAGGGTTTCTGTTTAAAAGCACATATTCTGAGAATTCTATTTCAGAATTTTCACATGTAAGCTAGTTAACATACTTATGTTGCTAGTTGAAGTTAATTAAGATAACTTATTCATTATGCATCCCTTTTCACACACAAACAGATAGTTTTTCAAGCCGTGGCAATTGATTAATGGTTTTTGAATAATGTCTTTTGAATCTGGAAAGGATATATCATAACAGTTATATGATGCTTTTTTTTTAGATTTTACCGAAGAAATTTTGTGTTATGCATTTGCCTGAGCATGATACAACACTTATTCTTGTTGATGAATCTGGAAAGGAGTTTAAGACAAATTATTTGAAAGTAAGACATGGTTTACGTGCTGGATGGAGGTGGTTTTCTATTGCATAAGGGTTACTTTAGAGTGAGATTTTGTTTTTTCGTCTTGTTGAACCCTGTAAACTTCAGGTAATCTTTTTGCTTTTTTTTTTTTTGTCTAAAAGATTATGTTATTATATACCCTAAATTGTGTCTTTTTGACTTAACGGGGACATAAGATTATGTTATTATATACCCTAAATTGGATGCTGATCCCATTGAAAATTGACTTTACCCCTCCTTTCACTTTATGGTCTGGAATGTTGTGGTCCTTAGTCCTTTGTTGAGAGGGCAAAATTTGTTAGTGAAAAACTCTTGGAGAACCCAATCCTCTTGAATGTATGGGTTTTGAAATTGAATGAAAAGAAGTAGTTGTTTGTTTGTTCTCTTTCTGTGAAATTATCTATTCATATCTTATCAGTCTTAATAAGGAAAGAAAGAAAAAAAAAAAAAAACAAAACAGAAAATGGAAGTAAGATTCTATAATAAACATATAAACAGTATCTGTTAGGTTTTTTGTAACATGATTTAAATTTTTCAGATGGATTGATATGATTGGAGAGTTAGAGAAGATGGCTAATCTTCTTTGACCTTTTCATATCACATCAACTGGCATTTTAATTTTTTGTAATGATTTCATTCAGATAAAATATTGAGCAAGATGGGTGAAGGTTAGCTGTAAAGTAACCGTTGTCTGCAAAATCTTATATTTTTATCACTCTTCTTTCGTAGATATCAACAAATTTCTAGTGCTGTAGGCACCTTTGGTTGAGTTTTGGAATGTTGGGATCGTGAAACCCATGGATATGTAGCAATCAAGGTAGATATTTCAACATTTTTTTAAGACAGTACTTACTCTATTTTTATTCTCTTTGCATGGTTTTGTATCTTTTGGCGAGTATTTTAACATACAGATCCTAATGGTAATCCCTTAAGTTACTTTAATTAGTAAGATGTTTTAAGAGATTATAAGTTTTGTTTTCTGATCATTCATTTAATGCGATAGGTCCAATGTATTACAAGGGAGTTTATCATCTATTCTATCAGACCCCTTTCTAAAAGAATGGAAGAAATATTCTGGTTATGGTTCCTAGTTTGTCTGCATCAGCATCAACATCATCAAAACGACCCAAGTACTAGTGAAAGAACTCAAAGCCACATGTAAATGCAAAATCTGCTTCCACCAATGCTACTCAAATCATAGAAACAGAAAAATCTTATGATGTTCTACTTGAATTCAAACATAGGATCACTCAGGTGCCTACAAGATGAGACTAGTAATAATGTTAGAGTGGTTGACCTCAAGTAAGGTTCTATGTCATTATTTCTCTTTTTAAATTTGATTTTATTGAAATAGTTATAATGTTGGCATCATCTTGAACAGGGCTGTTGGATCTTTTATTGAATTCACTCCTGATGCATCTGAAGTGGTAAGTCTATTTGTTCCCTGGAGGGTAATATTGTAATTGTTCTACTTATTCTAAAGCTACATCCCAATCATATACACACATATTAAATTTTTCAAATTTATCCCAAGCATATTAAATGTTTCAAGACAATGCCTTGCATCTGGTGATGTTAATCAAACAACAAGATCTGGGGTTTTATTTTCTCTACTTTAATAATTTTCTGACTTTCAGAAGACATGTATATATATTATTAGTTTCTACCATGTTAATTGATTACATATGAGATTGAAGATTGATACTTTGTTACTTCTCCTTCAGATTATGTGGCTAGGAGACATCTTTAGAGCCAAAGTTGTGGATACAACAGAATACTCATTGACAATAGAGGTGACATATTCATTACATCCGCATTACATATGACTACTGACTCATTATAAACATACAACCATACAATTAAAGTAAACAACACTTGTTAATAGTATTTTAGCCAAGTTTGTAATCACAGAGCTCCTCTGGTTAATCAGGTCACTGGGGATCCTGGGAAGATGGTTACTGTTCAGAGAAACTTAGACAAATTTGGAATCAAAGAGCTCACAAGAACAGGGAAGGTGAGATGTGTCTTAAATGCCTTTTTTCATGCAACACACACACACACACTAACTGTGTATGTTGCAAATTGTAGATTGCTTTAAGAAGAGAAAAAATTGGGTGAAACTGCTCCATTTTGGAACTATTGTGTTGCTTCGTATCTAGATCTGGAAGCCCCAGCTCCAATTCCTACTGCCTCAAATATAAGTCACACGGTTGATGAGAACTTGAGTGTGGTTTCAGGGGTATATTCTTTAATTTTTTGCAGGTTTCTATTTGTGATAATTACTTATTTTTTTATTAATTTGAGTTGTGATATATTTGTTTGAATGTAGGGAGATGTTTATCCTGTGGAGTACTATAATAAGTTCTCAATGAATCAAGTCCTTGACCCCCATTGGGGTGTGCTTTATGAAGAAGATGTAAGATATGCGTCAATTTCTAATTTTTCATTAATGTCTTATCAATCATTATTTAGCAAATAGTTTATGGGCTATATATAACTGAAATTTAATATTAATAAAACAGTTAACTGGTCATAAGTCTCACACTGTGAACATTCTTGTCAATAATGCTCTTGGAGTTCTCAACCTGGTCATCGGAGTTATATCCAGAAAGGGTTACAACATCCAGGTTTGGTTTTTTATCCTTATAGTATAATTTTTTAGGTGAAATGTTTACTTTTTTTTAAATAACAATATTTAAAAATAAAAAAATGTGTTGTGTTAAATTTAGTGGATCAAAGTTTTCTTCTTCAGAGTCCATTAACTTCACTGCTGACATTTATAAAGGTGATGCACACTTTTTTTCTTCTTAATTGATTTCTTTTACTATGTTTTGAAACAGTTGTACACTTGTTTTAAAGGTGATGCACACTTCTTTTAAAGGTTTCATTATTCTCATTTAGTTAGTTGTTCTCATTTAGTTGGTTTAGAAGTAGAATGTCCCAATAAGAATTAATTTAAAAGTAGAATGAAAATGACAAGTGATTTTGTGTTGTGTTCACAGGGTTGATGAAAGTGAATAGCTCTGGAGTTAGAAGAGGAAAAGAAAGTATAAGCTGAAAGAGATAAGATGCTGCAAATGCAAGTGTTGCATTCTTCATTTCAATTGTTAGTATGAAACACATAGTAGATTAGATGAATGCAAATTTATATATTATAAGAAATAGAATTGTATGACATTAAATTTTATGCAATGGATTGTATTTTTTTATATGGTATTTTATTTCTATTATGAGACAGTAAATGCAAATTTAATTTAAAAATTAATAAATATATAAATATATTTTTTTAAACATTTAAATTTACGATACGCAAAAATGTGTGTCATTTTCATTTATGACATGACCTTTCTTGACTGGGGTTTTAATGATACGCATTGTGTGTCATTAACACGCGCGTCGTAAGGTTAAGACACGCGAATGCATGTCGTCTTCCTTTATGACAGGGCCTTCCTTGATACGCATTGCGTGTCGTAAATTCGCGTCGTAATTGCACGTCGTAAATGAGCGTCGTAAATGCGCGTCGTCTATAGACGACGCGCAAAAGCGCGTCATCTCTCTTTATGACAGGGCCTTCCTTGACGCGCATTTGCGCGTCGTCTGAGCCTTTTACGACGCGCAATGAGCGTCGTAAAAGGCTGTTTTTCTAGTAGTGTTTTGGACTCGTTATGGTCATTATGAGTTTGTGGTGATGACCTTTGGGCTTAACAATGCTCCTGTAACATCCGGAAATTTGAGGATAAACTTTGGGTATAAATCACCTTTTGAGGATTGGACACGGTGTGTTGGAGGCACCAACACGGCGTGTCCAGATAAGAAAAGACTCAGGTTTCATTATGGGTAACATGGCGTGTTTCCTCTTGGAACACGACGTGTTGATGGCTGAAATGTAACCCTAATCTTCCGGGTTTAGCTCCCTATTTAAAGGAATGAGGAGACAAGGGTTTTTTCACCCGCAACCCCCATCAGCCTCTCAAGCCTTGAAAGAAACACTAATCATCTTCCCTCCCATTTTTAAGTTAGTTTAGTGTTTTTAAAGCTAAAGAATGAAGAAGGTGGAGGAAGGAATCAAAGATCCATCATCTAAGTACCCATTGTTCAGTTTTGCACTCTTCTGTACCTTTGTTATTATCCAAGGTTCGATTTTTATCATTCAAAGTTGTTAGATCTTGGGTTTTGTTCCTTTTTACTTCTTGTTCTTGAATGTTAAGCGGTTAGATCTCATAAAGTTTTCAATTTTATAAATCTCCAGGTCAGGGTGACCTAGTAGTGTCTTGGATCTGGTCTATATTCATGTTTTGATGTCATGCATAGAGATTAGGTCATAAGCCCTCATTTTGACCTAATATGGGTTCAATACATGCATGAGACATGTATGTATAAAAAGCACCAACCTTTGGGATGGCTTAGGTGTTAAACTCACTTCTGGAAAGGATGGACTTCAGACTTTAAGAATTAAGTGCTAATTAGTTAAACCCTTGCATTATTAAGCTTTATAGATTGGGTTTTGGACCTTTTTGGTAGTCCTAATGGATAAAGTTGGAAACTTTATCCTTCTGGATCACATTTTGGACTAGATCTGAGCTTTGGAGCTCTTGGAATCGAAAAAACAACTTAATGTATTAAGTTGCTGGAACTTCGGCAAACACGACGTGTTTTGAAGCTAACACAACATGTTGGCATAGATTTGCCTGACTGTTTGGATACTATCAGAACACGGCGTGGCCAAAGGAAAACAGCGTGTTAGGTTAATATGGACTGTTGATCTTGACTTTTAACTTTGACCAAGTTAGTCCTTGAGGGTATTTTGGTATTTTGATAAAATTGGTCACTTGGTGGAAATAGGTGTTGGTTGGAGTTGAGATTCAAAGTCGGGACCTCATCAGTTGTGGATCAGATCGAGATGTGAGTTTTCCTCACTATACTTACAGGTCAAAGGCACCAAGGATGACATATTGGTTTGATAACCTGATATTTGCTGCTATATTGAGTATGGAATAGATATGCATGATTAAGCTAGTTATTGATATGTTAGTCTGGGAGATCGGTAGGACTATCTATGATTCTGTCTGCATGATTATCTATATATGTTGTTATTTGTAGACATATTATGTTGGGTTGAGGTTGTACTGCTTCGTGTTGTAGCCAAAAAACCCTGGAGCATTCCAAATATGAGCTAGGGGCTAGGTTGGGTATGTTAGACTTATACTGAGGGCTCAAGTGCATTGTAGGTACGAGGTGAGGACCGGGTGGTATGCCCAACTCGTACTGAGGGCTTAAGGGTATCAGAGCATTATAGAAATGAGTTAAGGGCCGAGTCGGGCATGCCAAAATCATAATAAGGGCTTAGTAGCATTCTAGATATGAGTTGAGGACCGGTTGGTATGTCAGACTGGTACTAAGGGCCGAACATTTGTATTCTAATATGATGACTTATTGGGTTAGGGAGCAAGCCAAACATAAGCTATGGGCCCAATGGCAAGCCAAACTTATGTTGTGAGCTTAAGAGAATTCTATATATGACTTGTAGGCCCAATAGGCAATCTAGACTCATACTGTGTGACTGTGCTCAAGGGTAATCCAGTCTTTTAGTTGTGGACTCAATACATGCTACTATTTGAATATGTGATTTATTTGTATGTTGGTATTTTGAGGGAACTCACTAAGCTTCGTGCTTACAATTTTATTTTATTGTTTCAAGTGCTTCAGATGATTGTGGCAAGCGAAGGCGTAACCGTACACATCCTTAGTTTTACTACTGACTGGATCTTAGAAGACTCTGATTTTAAATAATGTTTTGGAAGCAATGATTCTGTAAACACGTTTATTAGTAAATGGGTTGTATTTAAAAGCTTAAAATTTTCTTGAAATTTTTGGGATGTTACAGGCTGGTATTAGAGCCTTGGTTTGAGTAAATTATAGGAATAATCATGTGAATCTAGTCTCAAACTATGGAAAAAGATTTTAAAAACAATTTCAAATTGTTTTAAAAATAAAAAAGGAGGATGCTATGTCTAGATCAACCAAAGCCAGTAAGTAGATGCCAAATTACCACACCGTTATTGAGATTATGTTATGATATGTTAGAACAACATGCTAGTGATACACTGGGGATCGTTAGGAATTGCATGATATAATTGGCCGATTATATGATGCCTGATAGCCTAGAGTCTTCCTCGCATGAAATTGATATCATTACTGTAATTTCTTAGTGTATGCAACATAGTTGTACATAACTAGGATTCTATAGCCTGAGAATGTTTGGTTTAGCCTTATTCCCTATTCTTGTTTGATGAAGGGCTTAAGGTAAAATCAAGTATTCGAACATCTATAGGAACCAGTGTTATGTATGATTAGCATATACGAGTGATGGAGTGTTGGTGGAAGTTTCATGAGTGGGTGCAGTATATGTTAGTTAAGTACGAGGATTATTACCCACTCTTGAGAGAGTGAGGGTAGGGCAAAGGTTCATCCGAGATGTTGGGAGATAGAGATCGAGGATTTCGTATGAGGATCTGTTTGATTTTATTGCGTTTCAGTGTCAGTCGACTCCACTTCTCGAATGTTGCTTGCTTTGTGCTTTGTGGGACTCACATTGATGGGAGTTAACTATCAAATGAATACATTAAGTTACATGCTATGGAGGTTAAATAATCCTAGAGTGAAGGATTTGTCCCTATTACGCAGCTCTCATTTGAGTCTAACCATTATAGGGTTGATTCCTTTAGTCGAAGGATTATTTAAGTATTCTTGCATTATTGGAGCCCCTCAACAGCTGATTTTAGGGGACGTGGGGAATCATATGAGAGCCTAGGGAGTATTTTATTGCGGTTGTTTCACTATTGAGCACGTTTCGGGAGCATTTTATGAGTAGGTCTTGGAGGACCCGAGATGATCCTTGAGGAAAGTATGGATAGGTGTGGAAGGTGGTATTGGACCCAAACTACTGGAAGCGCAACATCCATACTCGAAACAAGGAAAATTTTGGGAGTTCTAAAGACTGGTCGGGAGAGATTAACATGGTTTGATAGCATTATTCGTGGCAGTAGCTTCGTATATGTTGATCTTTGGTTATGGTTGCTGATGCATGGGGATGGTTCTGGTAATTGCTCGGCCCTAGTGGTGAAATTGGTTTGGATTGATTGGATAGACATTGATGAGCTTGTTGGTTTTGAGGTCTCGAGGGTGTTGCTGAATGTGACAACCCGAAATTTCTATCTTGTGCAGCCATTCAATTCAATCAATGTCAGACTTGTTTTTTCTATCTTTTAGCCTTGATAAGAGTTTGTTTGAGTGTTTTAAGCCTAGTGCCTTCAAGGATAAAATGTTAGGAAGTGTATTCTAGAGTTCAGTGTGCAACATAGAAGCCGGAAAACTCCAAGTATTGGAGTTTACGACCATAAACTAGGGTTTGCGGCCATAAACGCTTAGCTGGCCATGAACTCGTCCCTCTTATATGATATTCCTTCATTTTCACCTATTTTCCCCACTTTCAACCCAAGAACTCAAATTCTCTCTTAACTATCATCAAGTTTTTCACCTTGATCTTCAAAGAAGTAAGTATTCCTTCCCCTGATTTGTTGATACATTGCATTATCTAGTGAAGATTCATGTTTTCATCCATGAAATATCTCGTTTTGGGTTAGATCTTCAAGTTCATCATCTTTCATAAGAATACCAAGAACACATACTAGTTCTTGGACCGTAAACCCCCTTCCAAGCTTCAAAAACGTGAGTAACTCTTCTATCTTCTAGTTTGGCTTGC